ATCGTCTTACACTTCAGGCGGATTTGTATCGCCTCTGTGAATGGTCAAAAAGCTGAGGACTGAAATTGAACCCAGCTAAGTGAAATATCATCTCATTCACCCTCCGCACGTCACCTGTTCACTTCTCATATGCGCTAGGCGGTCGCCGCTTTGTTAGCTGCCAGCAGATTCACGATCTTGGCGTCTTTCTGGACACTAAACTCACCTTTGTCAATCACATAGATTCAACTGTCCCAAAAGCAAACAGGGTGCTGAGCCTTCTCATGCGAAGCGCGCAAATGCCGTCATGCCCTTGTCAAGCGCGGTTCAATCACAAGGCTTTGCTTTGAGCCTTCAACGCTCATGTGAGATCATTGCTAGAGTACGATAGCATCATTTGGAGCAGCGCTGCCATCTCTCAACTCGCCCGGTTCGAAAGACTACAACACCGGTTTCTCATGTGGTTGCGTTCGAGCAGCTTGTCCCGGTGCCCTTTCCTGGATTATGAGCATCTTCTCGCTTTCTTCAAAACAGCATCTATCAAGACACGCTTTGCTCAGTCGGACATCTTATTTCTGCACAACGTATATCATCATAGGCTTGATTGTGCTCACCTGACATCACTGTTCAGTCTGGCTACACCCGTCCGGCGTTCTCGGCATTTCCACGTGTCATTTTCAAGGGTCAACACTCTTAAAAATGGATTTGTCGCACGACTACCCGCTGTCTGCTTTCAATGTTCGCAGCATTCTCTCTCAGCTGACTTTTTTTATTCAACAAAATCATTCCGATCTTATTTGTTTAGGTTCACTGGCACACGTGGCACATTCTCTTGGTGACCTGAAGTGCGACTGTGTGTAGTGTGTAGGTGCGTGTGTGTGTGTTTGGTTAGGTTTTTGTTTGTGCGTGTATCATGTAGGCATGTATGTAGATTTTAAGTGTAAAACTCGACTGCTTCCGTAATTGAGCTTTTGCCCGTGGAATGCTTATGTCCTAAATAAACAAATAAACAAACCTAGATAACTGTTTTTAAGCAAAAGGCCATTTGCCCATTTAACGTCAAAGACTTTATTTGACCTTTTAAAGGTCATGGTGACCAAAATTACGCAGGACTTCTCTGTGTGTTGTGTTTGAATAAGTGATAAAGATTACGCTAGACAGTGTACTCCTAAAAAGGAAAATGTTGACCCAGGATATTTCAGGTCAGTGACCTATTCCGACCTGTAAAAAGTCCATGGAAGATGCATAATTCGAGGGTCAACAGAGAGTGTTCATCAGAGAACTTACCTAAATTGACCAACTGGCCAAAACGTGCAGGTGCTGACTGTATAAGTAGTTGCTCATGTCTTATAACGCCGCATGTGTATCGCTGGCGTTGCGTCCCATTTGCATGCGTTGCGTGCTTTGTGTTTATGTGATTTGTACTGACGCGGCGTTACATAGATAAGCCGTCTGCTGTATTTCTCCAATATTCCCAGTAACAATAATAATGGTAATAATAATAATATGATGCGGCTCCTGCTATCAATACATTCAAAATGAGCGCCAGAAACTATCCCATACAGCAAGCCCTAGAGTAATAAAAATGTTGGTTTTGACCCTCGTCTTACCTTCATACCTGACCTTAGGTCAATGTAATTTGTTCATTTGATTTTTGTGTTGCCTAAGAAAGCATCTCAAAGACGTATGGCTTCGTCTTACTCTCACTTGTTGCATCAGATTGAACGATTCCCTGGAAATTGACTTCGCTGAAATCATAGCCTGACTTTAACCTGCTATAGGTCAGCGACGTTACAAGGTACATCTAAATTTATGATACCAAGCGGTCCGCTATTTAATTGTCAACGGCTGGGCAAAATCTGGCGCGACGTTCGTTCGGGAACCATTCTGGAAAAAGATTCGGGCGGGGGTTCACCTGAGCGCGTGTTAACACACGCCCCGGGTGGCCGGTTGGACACCCTTCGCTCCGGTGGGGGTCAATTTGACCCCCTGAGATCTCGGCAACTAAGTGAGCTAGATACACCAAATTCACAGCGTCTCTTAACCTGTGCGTAAACTTTATTAGGTTAAAGTTTGAATTTCATAGGTCATGGCCTTCGGGTCAAATAAGTTCAAACAAGGTCAATTCCCAGATTGGTCTCTAAAACCCCGTAGAGCTTAGGCAACTGTTTTGAGAAAAATGTCACTCGCTCAGGTAAGGTCAGTCAGCCTGTCTGACCTTTTAAAAGTCATGAGGACCAACATGATATAAGACCGTTTTGAGTTGTGCGTTTGGATAAGCGACAAAGATTGCGCTAGACAGTATGCTCCCAAAAACAAAATGTTGACCTGTGTCATCTTCGGTCAGTGACCTATTCTGACCTATAAAAAGTTCATGGAAGGTGTACAATGCGGTTCCTGCTTTCAACATATTCGAAATAAGCACCAGAAACTAGCCATACCACAATTCTGAGGGTAATAAAGCAGGCTGTTGTTATACCTTGGTCTGACCTTCACACCTGACCCCATTCCAAAGCTACTTGCTTATTCAACTGTTGTGTTGCCTAAGAAAGTATCTCAGAGATGTATGGCTTTGTCTAACGCTGCATTTTTTATCAGGTTCAACGATCCCCTAAAGCGTGCCTTCGCTGAAACCATGGCCTGACTCTGACTTGCCATAAGTCAGCGACCTTACAAAGTACATCTAAATTGTTCATGTCGAACGATCCACTGTTTAATTGTCTCCAGCTATGTAAAATTTGGCGCGGCTACGCCACGCTGTTAGAAAGCAATTCTGAGAAAGTTTTTGGGGGTCAATTTGACCCCCCCTCCCCCCAGCCATGGGTGGGGGGGAGAGGAGGGGGGGGGGGGGGGGTCATTCTAGCCATGGTTCTACATTCTAGCCATGGTTCCTTTACCTGTCGTGGCTAACTCTAGTTTTGGGTTTGGGCAAATAAACTTCTCATTGTATCATGACATTCATAACGGTCACATAAATTTCCCATTTTTGGGACGCGTATATTTAGAAAAGGACTGATTTGTGGCAGGTTGTGCACTGAATTATGGCTAGGCAATGACTTCTTCAATTGCGTTACCAATATTGTCCCCGTATTTTCATGCACTACATTGCCAACATTTTGTTTGTGCCGGGCAGTTGTTGCAAAGTATCGTGAAAAGTCTTGCTGGCATGACTTGCCGACTTGCCGTCCACTTGCAGACAGATGACCCCGCATAAGGCACCGTGGGCCCCTGACCATACGGGGACCTCTACCATTGTAAGAGAGACCATATCAATGCAGATCGTGGTCCTCGGTCTTGCTCCTGCTTGGAAAATGGAATCCCCAGGGTTACCGACATGAAAACAGCTGTTTGGTGTTAGTAATCCCTGGTCGACATAGACACCCGCACTGTCTCAGGGGCTCCTCAATCGGTGCAAGAGGCCCTTAGACTGATATTCCAGGTCATGGCCCTACCGGCTTAGATCCTGTATGTGACTTACAGCCGGCCCTCCGGGCCCTTATGCCCTCCAATGGGGACCTTGATCATCGGTTCCGGTGGGCCCGGGCCCCTCTTTGGGCCTCATCGTACACTGCCCTTGGTCGACTCGAGGTCGCTTGCCATCACAAGGCCGCCTATTGGACACTGTGAGCCCTGACTGTGTGTGGTGTGGGCCCTCATGCCAATGCCGACACGGGGCCGACTGTGCGGTACTGGTAGTTCCTGGCCAACATACAATCCTTATCAACTCAGGGCGTCACCGACTGACGCAAAAGACCTTGTGACTGTCATTTAAGGTCTCGTCACCATCGGCCCCGACCCTTGAACACGAACTCCAGCCGGTTTTTCGGCCCATTGAGCCCGGGCTCGAGGAGCACCACCTTATCGTACTTTACTTGTGAGCACCACCTTTTCACTTATTGTCGCATCAGACCCGTACGACATGATCAGCATCGCCGGGCTGCTGGAAATATGTCTGAGTAGCTCAGAGTTTCGATTCGTAGTAGTTAACTGTGTGGGAAAAATGTAATTTGGATCCCTACTCACCACTGTGAAGGTAATGCATTTAATATGCATTGTTTTTTACGACGCGTGTGTTCTGTGATATTTGCAAAACACTAAGGTGTCAAAATGTTTGTGTAATGTGCTACGAAGGCTTGAAACATTCTGTTGAGACAAAAAGATATGCGAGCATGAAACTTTTGTACCGCGAATTAGACGATACGCCAGAATATAGCTGAAGTTATCTCCATTGGCGTCTACTGAAGCGGCTCTTTTCGAAACCTATTTGCCTTTAAAAACGGGGATACCACATTACCCATGTTCTCCATGTTCCCCATCCATGTTCCCTTAAATGGAGTTTTAAGGGGTGTGACAGGGAATGAAGCAAGCAAGTAAATAGATTAACTGCACAGAACCACCAAGTATCGCCTTATTTTACGCATTTAAAATTAAAACACTTGGCACCTGATGAGGCGAAAACATCTTGCTAACGACAATAGAGCAACTCAGTAAGTCAATTATAAGCCAGTTTGATTGTGCAGAGACGTTGTCAACAAAGTGACCTTTTATGTCGACGATTTTTAGCTTTTTATTTCGATTCACTCGTCAAAGGTAAGTGTCATGTTACGCTATTCATCTACGAAGTTACCAAAGGTGCAGGACTATTCGAGGGTCTAAGGGTAATGGCTTTGCAATACATGAATCAGAAACTTATCAGGATGTAAGGCCTCTGCAACGTTACCTTGGCACCTAAGAGTTCAATTTACGCTATGTGACAAAACATTTAAAACTTTTGACCACCGCTTGGTTTCATATCGCACGCATTGTGTCACGTTGTCCTACAAGTGCATTCTCTATGAAGAGAGCTAGGACACAGCCTGCAAGTGCGCCTGTCTGACTGCGCGTGGACCAGAGGGCGGCGCTGACTCCGCCCACACTCTCCAGCTGTGCCGCAGGAACTGGGCCGACCGCCCCGGGCCAGGAGGGGCCACTGGCGGCCGGAGGTCACGCGTCAGACCCTCTGACCCGCCCGGACTGGCCGGACGCCACGGCAGCCCGGCCGACAGGGAGGTGAGAGAGGGACACCACGGCAGTCCGGCCGACAGGGCGGTGAGAGAGGGACACCACGGCAGTCCGGCCGACAGGGCGGTGAGAGAGGGACACCACGGCAGTCCGGCCGACAGGGCGGTGAGAGAGGGGCACCGCGGCAGTCCGGCCGACGGAGCGGTGACAGCGCCGCGCGGGCAGCCGGCGGTGCGGATAAGGCTGAAGGACACCGCTGGGCTCGCCGCCGAACCCCCAGGTCGGATACCGCCGGAGGACACTGGGCTCGCCGCCGAACCCCCAGGTCGGATACGGCCGGAGGACACTGGGCTCGCCGCCGAACCCCCAGGTCGTGCGTGAGGCGCGGGTGACTCCACGGCGGACACTGTGGTGACTGCAGAGGTGAAGACCAAGCGCAGGTGAAGATTCAGCCAGCGCCGCCGCCATCCAGAAATGCAAGAGGCTGATAACGATCGCACGGCCAAGGCCCATCCTTGGTCGTGGTATCGGATGTCTCTTCTGCTTTCACTGACATTTATAATGGTGAGTAAACACATTACGATTGTTTTGACCGGTAGCCGTGCGGTCTCCGTAATGCTGTAATGATTGAAAGATACATTCATTTGTGATGCAGAATACCAATTACATACATATTCGCATGCCTGTGTAAGGGATTTTATGCGCACATGAGGTCAATATAGTAATTCAACATAAATGTTCACTACACTCCGCATACTATAACGGGCATGCAATCCTGTAAACAAATAGTAAAGCGGCTTCCAAAACTTTTGCGAAATTTCGTAGAACTTTTCGTTTAAGTGAGAAATTCAGTCCCACCAAGCCAGGTAAATGTGGCGGGAATATTTGAATAATGGCACTAGTATCAATAATTCACCCTTATTATAGAGGCCACTGAGTGAGATAAATGTACGAGTGTATAAACATAATATAATATAACAAATGCATCACTGCCGTCGATATAGACTAAGCGGAGACTGGACTGTTGAGCATCGTCCTTTTTTCACTCTTGTGTGATCCCGGCATTTGATTGAAGGATCGTCTTGTAAATAGACACGCAAGCACCTCCTTGTAGAGCAATTTACAAACAAGCTGTTTGAAAGGCATGTTCTCAAGGGTGGCGCCATCAAGCACAAGAGGGAAAGAAAGCACCGTGATCACAATTATCGCCATCTCATCATAGTTTAAAATAAAGCTCACTGATTCGAACATAAGAAGCAAATGAGACTTGATTTTAGTTTATTAATATATATATATATATATATATATATATATATATTGATACCAAACGATCCGCAATTCAATTGTCTACAGTTATGCAAAAATGTGGCGCGGCTGCGCCTCGCCGTTCGAAGATCATTCCGGAAAAACCTTCGGGGAGTCAAGCTGACCCCCGCCCGAGTGCCTGCTATGAACAACGTACGAGCTCAGTCCCTTTGAAGATGTGTTATATGTGCATGCAAACCGGATACGAGCTGATTTTACTTGGCCTTCGATTTTTAAGGCATTGGTGAATGGGACATACCCGGCAGGCTTACTTGCCTTTGGACTTTAAGATAAGGGTACCAATATTTATGAGGTCATCCGACGCAGACCGGAGTGCGTAGGCTTGCCTTTTTGCAATATTGGACCAGCCTTTATAGCCACCAAACGGCTAGCCGCCTAGCTACGACACGAAATTCGGCCAGCGCATCCAATCTTAATCATGTAAGACTCAGTTAACACTCACAGTGGGCTTTAAAAACTTGGCGATGTATGCACATTGTACACATCCAAATGTTCATTCACATGTACGCAACAATTTTCAACAGTGCATACGCGTTCCCAGAAGTAGGGGCGGCGCCACGGATTTTGAGATGGGGAAGGTTTTTCAGGGAGCCTCCTGGACAGAATGGGGCCTCCTCACAGAGGAGCGTCTAAGGCAGTATTTCATTCAAGGTGAGGGGCCCGAAAATGCGTGTTCCTTTATCGAATTGTTCCATGCATCAAAATCTAAGCAAAAATATCAACAATTAAGATCCAGAGTGAGGGTCTTCTGATTAAATAGGTGTTTTCTTGATCCAGCAAAGGGTCCTCCAACCCAAAAGCAAGGCTTCCTGTGCCAAAAATGACTTTCTGATGCATAGAGGGTCTCCTGATTCGGAGCGCAATTCTTTCGATCCACAAAGGGGCCCACCAGATTCAGCCAAGGGCCTCGTTATCCTAAGACAGGGAATTATAATACGGGAATGCGTCTGTCTGATATGCAGGCCCGTAGTCAGGCTGGTCAACTGGGTGCCTGTGCATATCTGTACTTAAGGTATAGGTGTTTCATGACGATTGGATGGAACCTCCTTTGTGATGAAATCTGTGACAATCGAAGCGGAAAACGTTTGAGTCAGCACTCGGCTCATGCCAAGTTTACTACTAGTTGCAAAGCCTGTATCATTTGTCTCACTTGTGTTTTGATGGATTGCCTAAGTCTTGTGCTGACAGAGGTTTAATTTCCACCACAAAATGAGAACCAGTGATGTTAAAGCGGTTGAATATAAAATGCCAGTCATCGGGTGTTCCGCGCTATGCACACGAGTTAGATGACGATCGCACCTGGTAGACGGTGAACCTGGTAGACGAACACCTGGTTTCGCCTTCGGTTTCGAACAATGTTTGAATCATGGGCCTGGCTTAAAGCCCAACATCCCCTGCCCTCCCAGCTTCGGCCCCATGCGATTTTTAACCAACTGCCGTCCTCGGCTTCTTCACACAATTTTTTCTTCAAATCTCTCGCCATTTTTTACTGCAGCTGTGACTTTGCTTCAGAAAAAAACACGCGTGCCGTTCTGTCATTTCAGTACTCCTACTACATGGCTTCCAATGTTGTGACACATACAAGCCTGAAAGCCATACACCACCCCGTCTCTTTCAGGACCAACTGACACCTGACGGTGGCCGGGGACTACATGTCCGAAACGTTGTGTGTATACTAGCACACAAGACGAGAACGATAGTCCCAACAATTTACCATCCGCAATGCCAGCACATCGTCATAACCATTCTGTACAGCCCTGATGAAATTGTGTGTTTCCTGAAAGTTTAGCAGACGCGAAAATGGTGTGTTTGACTAAACGCCGCTGTGCACTAGATTCAAATTTGACTCCGGCTTCGTGATATCCAACTGATAAGTCGGCATGGGTTTCGTGTCTCTCACGCTCCAGGCTGCTGGTTTGTGTTCGCCCGAAGTTTGAACCCACTGTCTTGGGGTTCAGATTCAGGTGCTATAGCAGAAAGGGCATTAACCGAAATGGCTGTTCCTAACAATATACAAACGCATACCCTTTGCAAAATACATGTTGGATCAAGTCATTGATCTTTTGCGCTAATCGCTACCTTCATTAAGTTGGAAATGTCAAAAGGGCTGTATCATCTCCTCACACCTGTTAGTCCACGTCATGTAAAACGGGGAATCGGGGCGAGAAGTAAACTGCGAATGGCAATGCATCGGTAAGGAAAAAAGGGATGGCGTTTGCACACGTCGTCCACATTTTTAGGTTCCCTTACCGACCCCATGAAGGTTTGGTCTAGCTATGGGCCTTCTGACACGAAAGGTGGCCTTTAGCCCAGATAAGAGGCTTCTTGATGCATTTGGGGGCGCCTCCTAGTCTAGAGCAAGGACCTTCTAGTTTATGACACGGGCCTTCTAGCTCATAACGAGGTCACGTTCTTCATAACGGGGCCTCAGGGTTCATAACGGGGCCTTTTAGCTCATCAGCGGGCTCCTACCTTATGACTGGCCTTCGAGCCTATAACAGGGTCTTCTAGTTCGACTCTTAGCTCATAATTGAGGCCTTCCAGCTCAAAAGGGAGTCTCTTACCTTATAACGGGGCCCCCTTAGTCCACCACGTGCCGCCTCCAAACCCATCATGGGCCTACCTAGTTTATAACGGTTAACTTCCAAGTCAGTGAAGGAACTCCTTAGCATACGACTGGGCCGCCTCATTTCGAGCGTGGGCTACCTAATTCCTAAAGGCGGTGTCATGATCCATAATACTGACCTCTTGGTGGCAGAAAGTCTTTTGAGCCGGATTCAGCACCTTCTAACTCAGCTCTGACGGCGTCCTCGATCGGAAGTTCCGTAATCCACGTGAGCCTTTGGGGTAAAAGCATACTGTTGTTCGCTCTGCCTCTCCCTTCCCTGCTGCGCTCCTGCTGTGCCGCTTCTGCTCACAACGTGATTCGGCAGGGCTTTTCGGCGTCGAAAATACGGGCTAATCGGGTTTGAGACAATGAGTGCTGGAGTGTGACGACAGACGAATATGCGACCTGCACACCTCGCGATGTGTCAATAGATACATAGTAGGCACCCGCCACTCCGCAAAAAAAAAAACACTTGGAGATGAAAATCCTGGAAGGTGCTGGGCAGGCGCAGCTCTGTAAACATCCCAGAGATGAGACCCCAAATCCTGTTATAATATATTTTTGCCATTCAGATGATTCATGCTTCGGTTTCGAATGTGAGAAGCATCATTCAAAAAGATCATTACCCCCGGGGTGTAGATAAGATATGTAAGATAATTACCACCAGGGTGTACATAAGATATGTAAGATATTACCACCGGGGTGTACATAAGATATGTAAGATATTACCACCGGGGTGTACATAAGATATGTGAGTTGTGTTCAGAACCCGCGCAAATCGAGTAAGTCTGTAAAATTTGTATTTGGAGAAGATGCAGCATAAATGTACATAATGGTGCCCCGATCTGCTCGTCGTAAGCCATACGGCCATGGTGCCGCGATCTGCTCGTCGTAAGCCATACGGCCAGGACCTGGCGCGCCTGCGGTGTGAATGCCCTGTCACCTGACACTTCCCACGTGTGACCGCCTATCTGGCGGATATGCTGTCACCAAGTGCCTCGCGTGGCGCCGGTCCGGTTTCAGATCCTGGGGTTTGTCGTGCTCGGTGGCGGAGCAGCCATGCAGTCGGAGTACGGCAAGACGCAGACCCGGCGGTCCGTCTTCCTCTGCGACATGGTGCTCAAGTGCGAGACAAAGCGGGCACTGTTGCAGTATGTATGCAGTTTTAGAGGAACGTGTGTCTTATGTTTGCCGTGTTTTATATAGCTTGGAAATCAAACAGATTGAGCGTCAAGGTACCATTACTGATCGTTCAATTTAACATTTGTGTTCGCTCGTGTAGATCCTGTTACGATAGGACTAAAGTGAATCGTTTGGCTGCTGATGATGTTAAAAATCCTTTACAACAGGGGAGTTTAGCTACGTTTTTGTGAGACCCCTGCCCGCCTTCTCATTGCTGATTTGGCGCTCCCATTCAAGTTTGGGCCAGTAACTTAGTGCTGAAATGTTCCACAAATTGACGGAAAGCTAAATATTATACAAGGCTATCTCCGTTGGACACCATTTGTTGGCAATGACTAACCGTCGATAACTGTACCTTTTGAGGGGTAAGACTGGCGCGCCCTTGGCTCCTCTCACCCCTAGGTCAATTACACAAATGGACGCCACGGCTTCCTAACGCATGTTATACCTGCCATGATACCGGGAACTCGCTTTTCCTTCCACATTTCCGCATGCACGGATGTCAGACTAGAAAAGACACAGATATAGACACAGACCGGATTGAAAATAACAGAATTGTATTGAACATTAAACAGCCGAAGATCTTATATTCCTGCATTTGGAAAGGGGCGTACAGCCAAAGGTCGTGCTTTCTTGCGTTTGGAACGGTGGCGTAAAACATAGAATGATTATGAGCTTTTGGGAAAGACAAGCTTGTCGCGAACTCGTTGGGATAGCTGACGGCTTTCGACTCAGTCGGCCGGGCTGACGTACCCGCGCTTCAGAACTGGCGTCAACCAGGAGCAACGGAGGGTCTCCCAAGTTGCAGGCACGATCATCATTTTTTGCTCTACCTCCTTCCATTCAACGCCTGAGGATGCAATGTCATGGGGACTCAGCTCGCTTGTGCCCTTATTCCCGCGTCCCAGACGGCACACTCAGCGCGGACAGTACTCGGCCGTTTCTTCAGGCCCTTAATGACGGCGTTCAGCTGACGACTCCTTCTGCCTCCTGTCCCAGTTAGCTGACGACCCCTCCTGGGTCCTGTCCCAGTCAGCTGACGACCCCTCCTGGCTCCTGTCCCAGTCAGCTGATGACCCCTACTGGGTCCTGTCCCAGTTAGCTGACGACCCCTCCTGGGTCCTGTCCCAGTTAGCTGACGACCCCTCCTGGGTCCTGTCCCAGTTAGCTGAAGACCCCTCCTGGGTCCTGTCCCAGTTAGCTGACGACCCCTCCTGGGTCCTGTCCCAGTCAGCTGACGACCCCTCCTGGGTCCTGTCCCAGTTAGCTGACGACCCCTCCTGGGTCCTGTCCCAGTCAGCTGACTCCTCCTCCTGGGTCCTGTCCCAGTCAGCTGACAACCCCTTCTGCCTCCTGTCCCAGTCAGCTGACGACACCTGTTTGTCTTCCAGTCAGCTGATGACGGCCTGGCGGTGTGACATCCCTGCCGCGCGGCTGCCGCTGGAGCTGTCGGCCGTTGTCGGGGACGGGACGCCCTCGTGCGACTCTGACCTTCTGGTCCAGCTAGGGCATGGCGCCCAGGGCGCCCTGGCCACCGGCATCCTGCTGGTGCTGACCTCGGCTGGTGGATACGTCGGTGCCATCACCAGCCGCAGCGGCCCGCTCGCCCTAGTGAGAGCACTGCCGTCCCGCAGATGCACGCTGTGGTCCCCCGAGGCGACGACAGGATCTAGACCTGGGCCACCACCGAGGGTTTAGCTCGGAACGCCTATTTTCAGAACGTGTAAGCGCAGAATGTCCACGTTGGCTTGACCTTTAAAAGGACTACTTTCCTAATTAAAACTCATGTACTTTCAGAGGATCTATGTTGAAGTGTGCCTTCACTAGACAGGCTTGCAAGAGTCCTATCTTAAGACTGCTTCTCTGCTATTGTGCTTTTCCAGACCACTCTGGACTTTTGGATTATTGGCGCAGGCAGCACTGTGCCTGCGGCCTTGTGGGATGTGCGCATAAACACATTGGGAGCACCGTGACAGGGACTGTGACACCGCTCTGTAGACGATTGACAACAATGAAAACTACAGAATGAGTTTGAAAGAAAACCATTAAACGTGTCATCAAACGTGAACGCGTCATCTATCGGCAGCCGTCCGGAAGCAAGTGCTTTTGCATTTTTGCATCACTCGTTTGCATGCGTTTCAATCAGCCCGTTACAAATCAACAACTCGAGGTTTATGATGGTGATGTTGATGGTGATGATGAAGCTCCTGGTGATGATGAAGCTCCTGGTGATGATGGTGACGACGAGATGACGACAATGACACAATATGCTTGATGCGATTGTTTAGTGCCTCTATACTGCTTCCACAGTATATCGTGATGAACGTGGTGACGACGGTGCTGGAGTTCGCCGCGGTGGGCCTGCTGGTGTACAACAAGTCAGAGTTAGACCAGGTTTCAAAGCAGGCGGCACAGCTGCTGAGCCAGCCGATGCCGACGTCGGCCCTCTCAGAGAGTGAACTGCTGCCGCTGCTGTCTGATTATGGACTGCTGACGGCACCGGGCACCATACCGACGCGGGCAGCCCGGCCGCCACCCGCCGGCCGGCGCGGCGGCGCCCGGCTGCTGCACAGAACCACACCGGTCGCGCCGGCAGCCAGTGTCAGCCTTCCGGCCGTCGGCGAGGTCTGGACCATCACACCACCGGCCGTCACTGCAACGAGTTCTTCCAGGGCTGCGGCTGCTGCTGCGGCCAGCTCTCCTCGTCCGGAGGCCAACTCTGCTCGTCCGGAGGCCATCTCTGCTCGTCTGGAGGCCAGCTCTGTTCGTCCGGAGGCCAACTCTGCTCGTCCGACGGCCAGCTCTGCTCGCCAAGAGGTGGCAGCCGCTGGTGGGGCTGCCCGTCCGCGGCCATCGCTGAGCTCCACCCCCGGCTGGTCCGGCACAAGACGGCTGGACCGACGACCACGCCGAACCGAGTGGGAAGACCACACGGAGGAGGTCATCGGACACTGGTCCGGCCCAGCGGTCCAGTGTCTGCTGCGCGGTGCCGAGCTGCCCATCTCGCACTGCTTCTCACAGCTCGAGGACAACCTGCAGGTGAGGCACAGCTCCGGCTCCGGCTCCGGCTCCGGCTCCGGCTCCGGCTTCGGCTCCGGCTGTGGGTATTACATTTGCCACTCATAATATGCTTGTGCATCACTTCTTCACACATCACAAATCCCCGGTTCACACATCTTTTAACACATTTTGAATGCTAGGACATATTGTACCCCATAACAGCCAAAGCAAAAACTCTGCATTGGTCATCAGCCATGTGCTGACCACATTGGCTAGCCGGCTAAACAGAATAAATTTGGAATGAAGTGTCGTGCACGATTTCGATGTCATGTGACCACCGACGTTAGTTCACTTTGCCATGTATGCTCCGAAATACTTAGCTGCAATAGGACAGGATCCACCATGATCTGGAAAAAAATAGCATGCTCCATGTGAAGGAGTTAGGCGAGTTATATCAGATTTTTCCCTGAGTGCCTTACCGCTGTAACTACAAAAACTACATCTGAAAACAGGTACAGCTTTCAGCTTCATATGTAGAGGTAAGCATTTAGATACCACGTCTTCGCTTTTAGTAAATGACTTCTGAATAAACCCGTTTCGAATCAGACAGCCTGCATCACTTCGCGGTAAATTGGACCACACAGTGGAAGTGGGCGTGCTTGTCTTTTATCACTGAGCAAGTTGCATTGCAAGGATGCTGGATGCTTTACATGTAAGTGAAATGCGCTCTTGTGTGTTACTTTGTGAAACGTCATGATTGCGACATGGCGATGTTTCGTCCTTATTATCAGACAGTGGTTTACGACTATTGCACATTGGTTGTGGTTGCTCAGGCGTATATCATGGTCGACATTTGCACAGGTAATGCAAATGTCGATATGCTGTCATGATGCTAATGAGTCACGACAATCATGCCAGTCAATCATGGACGGTAAGTCAGTCAATATATTGTCTATGCATTGCATATTGCCGGTACAAAACATACTGTCCATACGTTGCATCGCTGATACAACATGCGCCATGCACAGCCGATGCAGCATGTACCATCCGACATCTGGAAAAGAAGTTTCTCGTCACCCTGAAACCCTGGGTTAGCAGATGTCATATGCTATACGGCATGTACGACATATGAACTTCCCCATCTCTCAGTATAACATTCAGATCGGCCTAGTTATGCTCTAAGTCCTTAAATACACAATTAAGTCGATCGCTATATTCTTCAACGGTATGAAGAGTACATTTGTCGCGCTCGCCTCAAAACCAGTGCACGCATGGTGGAAGCATACTGATCGATAGAGGCGGCTGCCGTGCGTCAGCTGAATAACTCTATATTGCCATCGCTCGCCCATATTTGGAACAATTCACCCTGATACCACTTGGACATAAAGCCGTTCATTCCAATCTCCCTATGTACATACGTAGCACGCCTAGTTTGCGAAAGCTGCGCACAGGAAGATGGGCTATCGTTAACAAACAGCGTACATAGGAATCTCAAAATTAGAGATCGAAGTAGGGGGATTGTTTGGAGGCGCCCCAAATTCCAGATGGGCCCCATAATGATGCGTACCCCCCCCCCCCCCCTTATGATATCCTAGGTCCCCCATTGCCGGCTGGTGCTTGTTGGCCAGGTGCCGCCGACCGTCCCTTGGCAGTCGCACCAGACGATGCGCCCGCCCTCGGTGCCGTACCCGATGCGCCCGCCCTCGGTGCCGCACTCGATGCGCCCGCCTTCGGTGCCGTACCCGATGCGCCCGCCCTCGGTACCTCACCCGATGCCACCGGGTAGCGGGTCCGTCATCTGTCCCTCTCCGCAGGGATGGGTAGTTGGTTGTCGGTGGGCAAAGGGAGCAAGAACCATGGAGGGCGTAAGGGGTGCGCTATTTATTACTGTGGAGCACGTATGTGGCTCAATAAAGCGCGCCACGATAGCTTCTCAAGCGCGCAGATGCCTCCGTGATCAGCTCATCCCAACGTGGCTGCCGTCATGAAAGGTGAAAGGTGGTTTGGGCGAACGGAGCGGATTTGGCGGCGATAACTAGATCTTCTGTTTGTGCAAGAGCTTTCAATTAAACAGAATTATCGATCTCGAAATTGGGCGAGACATGCCGACAGCTTATGCATTAGTCTTCTTCAGCGTTACTGCGTTACTGCAAGCGTTACTGCAAAATATGGTGACCAATATGACTCCCGAACCATATTTGCCACTGGCGTTCCCTGATATCCAAGGCGCCAACCTGGTCAGCTCAGCTCCTGGAGGAGAATACTTGGATCCACTCTTGATCAGGGTACCCACTCCGCTTTGATACTTTCCACGGTCGCCTCAGGATACCCGACCATTGTGCAAGCAGACCGTCCGTGTGCTCTGCAGGGAGAACTGGAGCGAGCCAAGCTGGTGCTGGAGCTGATGCTGGCACCCCTGGTCTGCACCTTCCTGGCCTGTCTGCTCCAGCTGACGACCATATTCTCCGCTTGGCACATGATCAGCGACCAACAGACTCGCCCCAGCCGGCCCCCGCCACCATCCGCCCAGCAGCGCACCTCCGGCGTGTGACGTCACATACGCCCAGCAGTGCACACCCGTCGTCCGATGCCACACACGTCCAGCACCTCACACCCGGCGTCTGACGTCACACCCACCCAGCAGGGTACATCCAGCGTACGACATCACACCAACCTAGAAAATGGCTTACGGCGTATGACGCCACATCCTTCGGGCGGCTTCCCTCCGGCGTGTGGACTACCCTGCATCTCACTTGGCTTATGTCACGCCCGCCTGGCAGCTCAGCTGCGGCGCATGTGATTGCATCCGGCGAGCAGCTCACCTCTAGCGTGTGATATACGCGGCCGTAATTCCCCTCCGCCATGTAGCGTCATTTATGACGGTCGTAGCCGATAGGGGTATGTTCAGGGACTTGCAGCACCCGGACGATGGTGTCGGAGCGGCGAGCTAGCACATATAGCACCCGGCTGTCTTAGGGAAATGCGAAGTATGTTTTTTGTTGTTATGATTACTGTGTTGTATGCTCACCGCCCATGGTGGTACATGTAATTTGTGTGGGCGTAGACAATACACGAATTCTATAATCATAGGAGGAGCACTGCGATTCTCATCACTGAGTGGCAGCGATGACACGCAGGCTACCAGCGATGCTCAGCTCCGGACGACTGCGACAGGCTGTCCGGTGCTGGGCGAATCGGACAGCTGGCTGTCCGCTGCTGGGCGAATCGGACGGTTGACCTTTGTCGGGGAGCTGACCGAGCACGTCTCAAGCACTGCTTTATGGCGAGGCATCTGAACAATCACCACAGACATGCGACTCATCGGCTAGCAGAAACAGCCGTCACAGACACCGGATGCAAGGCGAACATATGCTACGAAGTTCCAACAAAATAAGTCACCAAATATTCTTGCTCAATGTCCGCCGTTGCTACAGCTTTGAATTGCAACACATGTCCACGAGGCTACGTGCATGTGACTCGACAACTAGATTTTTAGTTGCCTTGATCTCCGCGTGGCCAATGGAATGACATGATTTGAATGACGTTATCTTGGTGTCATGGATGCCTGGGTCATCTTGGAAAAGTCTGCAAGACATAGTCTGCACGTCTTCGCGGGCGTTTAGCTCAGAAACTGGAGGGTTTAGGTCTTAAAAAGGGCAGAGCCGTGACGATGTCTCTCATTTCAAAACCCCATACAAATGTGGAACACTTCCTCTAAGTGTCCATGTGGTAATCGTCGCTCGCACTCCTGCGCTCCCCCCTCGTGCATGCTGAGGTATGCTGGGGATGGCCCGCAGCCGGCACTCCGCCTCGTTTGTTGGCATCTTGTGAGTGCTCGTTTCTGGAGACGTTCACGACCAGGCGTCTAGTTGTCGAGTCGTTCAAATCTGGCTTTCGTGGGTACGATTTTACAGGGGAGAGATGGAGACGAGAGAGAGAGGGGACGATGACGAGAGGGAGAGAGAGGAGATCGTTCAAGATGAGAGAGAGGGGAGTCGAGTAGAGAGAGAGAGAGAGAGAGCGTGCGCGTGCGCGTGCGCGTGCGCGTGTGCGTGTGCATATAACGGGCGTCGATTGGCTCTCAATCAGTGGTGTGCAGGGTACGATGACGCAATCAAACAACAACGTATTGAGAAACATGCACTAATTAGAGACCTTGTGCTGTCTAGAGCAGTCATTTCCACTTAAAAGTGTACCTATGGTACAAGTGAGCTTGTGCCATCATACATGATGCTTGCTTCAATGTCTTTAAACGTGGCACATTCCTTTTAAGTAAGAGGGGCTAGGTGATGTTTCCTGGAACATTTAAGTGCTCACTTTAGCCACCTGAGCCACTACGTTTATGAATGCTTTGATCGCCGTTGAGCGAATGGATGAATTATTATTTTGGATGTTTCTGGTCGCAGGTTTTCAGTTATTCTGTTCTGCAAAACGGTGAAAGGTAAAAAAGACGGGCATTTTGGATCTTTGTGTGACAGAAGTGAGACATTCATTTTCCGTTTTATTTTGTTCATTACATGGTGGCGATATCACAAAGTACACAAGTAAGCTTCATGTTACGACAGCAATCTCCGGATGCTTAAATTATGTCTTTGTATCTTCACATTCATTAAGTTCAGCGCACTATTCTTACTCGAACACTGTCAATAGAAGCACTCATTCCCAGTAAAATGATTGCCTTTGCCTCATCCTGCAAAGATAGTCTTGATCTCTGCTGGTCTGGAACAAATCTTAACAAAAGAACTATGATGCATGGAACCAATTCATCTCATCTACCACGCCAAAACAGCCTTGCATCAGTCGCGCAGACACTCCACAATTGCCCTAAGTAGGACTAACAATGGAGCTGATCATGATCAAAATACTGTTTTCCTTACATAATTATTTAAACACATGTTGTTACTCACTCGCACAACTATCGGGAGCCGTTCGCTGGAGGCACTCATACGTGTCCGTCGGACGCCAAAACATCTTGCAAAGTCGTCACTATTGGCTTGCTCGTCACCACTCAGTGTCTGGTGCACCGTTTGAACCGCGACCAGATGAAGCACTGCTGCCTCTCCAACAATTGTATGTCTCATCTACCGCACTGTGTGGCTTTCGCTCACGTAGCGGCCAGCTACACTGTCGGCCGGCTGGAGCCAACGCTGGGGTCGGTGCGCGGACGCGTCCGTGCCACGTGGGGGGGGGGGGGGGGCAGTGCGCAGCCCTTCTACGCGTTCATTGCCGCACTACAGTGAGCTCGTCGGTCCGGTCGGCTGCATCAGGAATGGTGCTGTTGATGCGCGGTCAGCGCAGGCATCCAGCCCTGCCGACTCTACAGCGGCCTGGCTGGCCGAACAGCGGTCGGACTGGCCGAACAGCGGCCGGGCTGGCCGAACAGCGGCTGGGCTGACCGAACAGCGGCTGGGCTAGCTGAACAGCGGCTGGACTAGCCGAACAGCGGCTGTGTCGGTGGCAGCGTCATGGTGGTGGTGACGTACGACGTCAGTACGGTGGGCATCACTGTGGTGCTGGTGATATAGGCGGTGGAAGGCGAGGCACGGAACGTCACCATCACGGCACGCCGGCTGGTGCTGGTGACAGTGGTGGTGACAAACACAGGCGACGAAGAGACGATGGTACGTGGCCCGGCCGGCGCTGCCGCCCCCACCGCCTGCGGCTGCAGCGCCGCCAGGTACGGGCTCAGCAGCTGCATGTACAGTAGCTGTTGCGGCGTCATCTGGGCCGGCTGACCGAGCGCTCCCATCTGGCTCAGCTGGCTCAGCTGACTAAGTTGGCTGAGCTGGCTCAGTTGGCCTAGTTGGCCCAGCTGGCCTAGCTGGGGCAGCTGTGCCGACGTGCCCAGCTGGGCCAGCGAGGCTCCGAGAGACGGCGAGGCTCCGAGAGACGGGAGTGCCGGTGTGGCGACTGTCCCGACGCTGGCCGCCGCCGCCGCCGCCGCCGCCGCCGGCTGCTGGCCGTGCAGCGCGAACATCTCTGGGTGCGTCTTTTGTTCGAGCATGTCTGGATCGAAGGCGCCGCCGACCTGGGCCAGGCTGTCGGGCGGCGGCAGGCGCTGCAGCGGCACGCCGCCCTCGTCCACCTGGTGCTCGGAGGAGGCGCCCACCAGGGTCGAGTTGGAGCTCACCAGGCCGGCTGGCGAGCCCTGCTTAAACAGCTCCATCGGTGGCATGGTCTTGAGCGCCGTGACCACACGCGTCACGTGGTACGACTGGGTGATGGTGAAGGAGCGGGTGTTAGCGCCAATTACCAGCGGAATCACCGACGACTTGAGCACCAGTTGCGCCGTGCTGTACGTCTCGGTCATGGTGTGCAGCGGCAGGCTAGGCGAGCTCGGGTCCAGCTGCACCGGCGGCAGCATCACGGCCGGTTCCTGCCGCGCCGGCCCCAGCAGGTCGTCGACCGCCGGCTTCGCGACGGCCGCTAGCGGCGCTACCGTCGTCGCGGGCGTCGCCGCCGGCGGTGTCGCAGACGCCGCAGGCGGCGCCACTGTCGTCGAGGAGGGCGCCACCGTGGGCGCCAGCGGAATGGCCACCGTGCCCGTCTTGGTCTGCGTCACCCACTTGCTGTTTGTGTAGCGGCCGATGGTGATGTGGCGCAATGTCTTGAGCGTGGTCAGCTCGTGATAGAAGTCGGTGGCGCCGGCAGGCTGGACCGTGTTCACCGCCAGCACGTGCACCTCGTCGCCGCCCCGGTGCTCGGGCGGTGCGGTGGTGCTGACCGGCGCCACCTCAGCTGGCGGATCATCGTAGTACTCGTCGTCGTAATAGTAATCGTCGCTGAGGGCGGCCTCCTGTTGGTACGGCCGACGCGTCTCCTGGGTCTGCGACCCGGCCTGTCCCTGGGCCAGCGGCTGGGCCTGCTGTTGGTACTGGGTGCGATCGCTTTGATACTGTCCCCCAGTATGAGGACGTTCAGTGTGGTAGTTTGGCACTAGGCGTTCAGCCTGGTATTGCGGAACTGTCTCTTGGTACTGGAAGGAAGTCTCGTGGTACTGCGGGCGCGTTTCCTCGTATTGCGGACGAGTGCTATGGTGTTGCGGACGAGTGTCATGGTGTTGCGTACGGGTGTCATGGTGCTGCGGACGAGCGTCTTGGTACTGCGGGCTGCTGTTCTGGTACTGCGGGTCGGTGATCTGGTGCTGCGGGCCGGTGTCTTGGTATTGTGTACGCGAGCCCTGGTGCTGTGGCTGGGCCTCCCAGTACTGAGGGCGGGCTGATGGTCGGAGATGCTGCCGGGCCTGCGGCCGGGCGGTGCTCGCTGAGATATTCTCCTCCTCTTCTTCCAGTCCCTTCTCCTGTCGCTTCAGCAGCTTCAGACGGTCAGCGGCAGATGCACGGCGCTGTAAATCACGATGTATTAGAAGCAGTCATTCAATTTAAATCAATAAGGAGCAAACAATTACGTCTTGGGCGTAAATACACAACAATCTATTTGCACCATAAAAACCAGTTGAGCAAAAATGCTCCTGGTCCGTCATCGACACGTTGCGTAACAGCAATGGCACGCGGCCACTTCACTGTCATTTGTAGGTTTAGTAAGCAAGTATGCTCTTGCAACGACCACTACTCCGCCGACTTGGTGAAGCCAGCGGCATGAGTGCGTCTGACGTCACGCCTGCCGCAGACGGAGTGTCGCTGGTCGCGGCATCGCCACTCACGCTCGTCTGACGTCCGCTCGAGTAGGAGCGGCGCGGCGGCAGTGTCGGCAGCGTCGGCTCTCGTCGCCGCTCGGCGGGGTGGCCGCTGTGCCGGCGCCGCGTCGCGCCGAGCGCGAGGTGCCCCGGCCGCGGCGGCGCCACCACCTCGCGCGAGGGTCGCGACTCGGCGCCGACTGGCTCGAGCTCGCCTCGCGCCGCTGACGGCTCGGCGCCGTCCAGCGAGCTGAAGAGCCGCTCCAACGGCAGCACCTCCGGCTCGAGCAGTGGCGTCGGCCGGCGGGACAGCAGGCTGGAAGTCGGCCGCGCCGACGCCGTCGGCTGCACACGCGCCGCCGAGAAGATGGTGCTGCTGGAGCGAAGCACCTGCGCATACCGTCCGCGGATGTAGGTGCCGATCACACTAGTGGTGTGCACGGTAGTTCGGCCGCTGGCCACGTCCGTGCCGCCGAACGTGGTCACCAGACCAGTGGGCCGCACGTTGATGGACGAGAGGACGAGGCGGCCGCGGGACGGCGCCGCCGTCTCGGACACGATGCTGGCCGGCCGCGCCGACAGGAACTCCAGCCGGAAGCTGCTGAGCGGCGCCTCGGGTCGCTGCCGCACCCGGAAGCCGACATTGTGGCCCAGGCTGACCTTGGTTTCGGGTGGCAGGCGCACGCTGGGGGTGGCCGTGCCCTCGACCAGGATCGGCACCAGCGTGGGGTGACGGAGCGCCGCCCCCGGCGCCGGCCTCAGAGGCGGCGGCGGTAGCAGCAGCGGCCGCGGCGCCGCCGGCCGCCGCTGGCGCAGCTGGAGCCACAGGCCGCTGGACGGCGTGCTGCTCTCGAACGAACTCTCCAGGCTGATGGCCGAAGGTGACGAGAAGAGAGCATCGGCCGTGACCGGCCGTGAGGTACCGTGACCGGCCGTGACCGGCCGTGAGGTACTCGGCGACGGCTCGGCCGCCGGCGTCGCCAGCGAAGGACGCCCGCTCGACGGCTTGGCATCGGTCGTCAGTACCACGCGCAGCGCCGATGACACCGCTGACGGTGCCAGCTGCTGCACCGTGCTGGTGCTAGTGACTGTCTGCCGGAGAGGCGTTGAAGGCTTCCGCTTCAGGACTGTAACAAGCACATGGCAACCGTCACATTTTCGGCTCAGCTGGTTGACTTAACGGAAATATGATGAAAAAGGAAATAATGAACATCTAAAAGTTCCGGGATATATTTTTATCAAATGATGTTCTGCCAAAAGTCAGGAGCCTGCTCAGCGGTGCTTATTTGATAACGCAAATCCAACTAGCCAAAGGCTGAACCGCGATGCAGCGTGACGACTTTACACGACCATCGCCTTTGTATCGATTCAACAACAGAGAGGATGATCTTTTAAACATGCTTAGTTAGAGACATATTGTAACCAGATCGGTATGTGGCTCTGGGACGCGTCAACTACCATGGTCATTTGCGCCTGCCATCATCAAATGCCAGCGCCCTCGTGTTCAAACAAACAACTTTGTACGCGGGAACACAATGACAGTCGCCTCCACACACCCTGTGTCTTGGAGTTGGGCGTGAATACCACGACGGTGTCGCCGACGGTGGTGATGAAGTCGAGGAAGCCGTAGATGGTCTTGGTGGCGAAGCCTGTCTCGCCTGGCTTTGGCAGCTTGGTCGGCTGCGTGCTGACCGTCAGGCGCGTCTCGCCGACCGCCGGCGTCGCTGCGCGGCACCCAGAGCGCGGATAACGTTAGGTATCGCCGCTGATAAGCGCTGACGGGTTACAGAGCCTAACCAGTTGGAGACTAAATGGTCGGGAGGGGGGAGGAGGTTGGGGGGTTGGCAGGCCTCCCATCCCTTCTGCGCTGGAGCCGAGCGGTAGCATGTTTGCGCTTTGTGGCTCTGGCGTGGCCTAGTGACAACATGGCCTGTTTGTGCGCCTCAAATATCTTTCGCCCCGCTATCGCTAACGATTACCAGTCACCTGATGCTTATCAGTTCACCTCACACAAAAACCATCCCGTTGTTTTCAGAAAAGTTATTAATGGCTGCACACTGCAAAGTGTTATCGTGCTGTACAAAGTGCATTTTGTTCTTGAAGGATTAATCGCATTGAGCCCACATTGATTAGCGTTGTTTCGATAATACCTACAGTGAACTCAAAATTATTCAGTGTCCATTCCGCAAGATCGTTGCGACTCTCCTCTTTGCAGACCTCCTCACTCGCACTGTGCCCCGTAGGCCTATGCAAAGGACCTCCACATAGCCAGTAAACGACTGGGCAACATGAGCATACCGAGCCTATATTGTCTCCCGAAAGGTAGCCAGGACCAACCATACTTTATTGTCGTCACAGTTTGAAATGGCAGAAAAATGCTACAGGTTTTCTACTTTATTTCGTCTACAATATGTGTCTTTTTCATAAAACCATCTTACTAAGTCTACCAAGCCGAGAACAACAGAAATTCTGCCACTGATGCACTTCCCAATTTGGCTGACATAGTCTAACACTATAGAGTTAACTGCTGTTTTAGCATGGGCACCACTAAAACAAACTGGCCTGGAATAGAACGCACATTCCAGTCATGACTTCTTAGAAGCACAGCACAAAGCACACTCATGAGGAATGAAAAGGTAGCTGTCAGCGTCTCGCAGCTGGGAAGATGGATACCAAGAATGGGAGACGACTCCCCAGCTCTACGCTTTTTATTACACTGAGCTTTGCTATACGTTTTTGGTGGACTGCGTGCGTAATGGCCGGAACAGGGAGCGTGGTCTTGTGAGCTGTGGATTAACGTAATGTACGTGTGAAGAACCGCACTCGGACAAGTCCTTACGTGATGTTAACTCGGACGTTAGACGAGGTAAGCTGCACCGTCCAAGCTGACGCAATATACATGTGAAGAACCGCACTCGGACAAGTCCTTACGTGATGTTAACTCGGACGTTAGACGAGATAAGCTGCACCGTCCAAGCTGACGCAATATACATGTGAAGAACCGCACTCGGACAAGTCCTTACGTGATGTTAACTCGGACGTTAGACGAGATAAGCTGCACCGTCCAAGCTGACGCAATATACATGTGAAGAACCGCACTCGGACAAGTCCTTACGTGATGTTAACTCGGACGTTAGACGAGGTAAGCTGCACCGTCCAAGCTGACGCAATATACATGTGAAGAACCGCACTCGGACAAGTCCTTACGTGATGTTAACTCGGACGTTAGACGAGATAAGCTGCGCGGTCCAAGCTGCGCGGTCCGCAAACGCCTCGCTAAACGACATTCACCGAATAGAATGGCGCGCTGGGCTGCAGTATGTGCAGTGATCCCGGGAATAGTCTGAGACCTGAACCATGAACCCTCCTAGATCCCAGGTCTTCCAGAAGATAGGATTAAACTGATAATTTGATTGAGGAAATGTTTGGAATGCCGGATCTCCTCCTGTATACACATCTGTTAGTATTCAACAAACTTTCTTCTCCGTTTTTCAACTGATCTTCCGCGATCGATGATTCATTTTTGTGTTCGCTGTTGGTTATTTCACGGCTTTTTTGAAGGACACCATCTGCACTTCCACTTCAAATGAAAATCAAAGATGAGCGAAATCTTCATCAACTTTTCAGATGCCACCGCAAAGGTAGTAGCTCTTTTTAAAGATGTAATCAAAACATTTTGAGCGGATGCATTTCTGGGATCAAAGCTCACGCTAAGCGATGTTTGTTGCGTGATCCCTAACTTCTACCACCCGATCGTGTAGTTCCAGGTCGGAGGCAGATTTGGTAAAGTTTAACGTGCAGCAATGCCGGCAAGTTGAATGTTAATGGGAAGACTGATGGGCAGTCCCTTACCAGTTAAACGTCACCCGTCCAACAAGACTGCTTTAGGGCAGAGAGCCCTTGCTCACCACACTCATCATCATCGTGCGATGGTGCGATGGTGCACGCGGACCGCACAACATGTTACCTAACAAATACAACTACCGGAGCTGCATTGCCAGTCATCACGAAAATAGACATCGATATCATTGGCACTATCTGTCAGACCCACAGAGGCGATGACGATAGTATTTCCCATCAACCAAATCAGTGCTTCAGTAAGTTACCAGTGGATAACCTAGCATCCTTGTTATGAGCTCGGTGCAGTTTTGTAGGCTGGCTTGAAGCCTGTCCAGGTGAGGGTGCTGAGCTCACCTGCCAGCGGCTCAAAGTGGTCCGGACCAACTATCAGCGTGTTCAGCTGACCGGACGCCTCGTGCAGCCGCTCTCCTGCGACGACAGATCAGCGTCAGAGATCAGCCACGAGACGGGTTGGCCGCTGACATCCAGCGGAAGGCCAGCGGCCATCAGCCGGCCGCCGGCTCTGGCGCGGCGGGCCGCCGACGAGGTAACGTGCCGAAGCTGTCGGAGCCTGAGCGACCTACTCTGCCCACTCTTGTCGTTGTCAATCATCCATTGGGAAGTGACTTTGATCTTTACAGCACTGTTTGTTTGCCCGTTCGGCAAGACAGCCAATTACGCCTGACCTCTGCAAACTTGGGCCTGCAGAAGGGGTAAACAGTCATCAAGCTTGGGATGCAGAAGGGGTAAACAGTCATCAAGTACGTGTAGCCGCGCTGGTCGCCGAGTTCCCACTCAGTGGCAGCTACCTTGCCGCGCATGCGCCAGTACACCGGAATTGTGATTGATGTTGAAGACGGACTGTTGTTCGCCATATGCCCACTTCATCAGACCACAATCGAAGGACCTTCAATGCAATATCGCAAGAGTGATATCATGCAGAGGTACACTGTGAGTGGTTACCGCAAGCTAATTTGCTGCGTCAAGTGGTGCGTGTTGTGGCTCCGTTTGCTTGTCTGCCGGATTTTCACACACCTATGGCTGCAAAACCCGTTTCCATCATGCAGCGTTCCCTTACGAAAGTGCTTCACAGTATCTATCCAATCCTTACCACGGCACGCATCTTGGACGCAATCTCTCAGCCCCACAAAGTCCGCTCGTGCACGAGATATGGGGCTAATGTTTTCAACGTGCCACGTCACAGACTGCACGTGCCCATTATCTGAACAGGACACTATCGCGTCCTATGTACGCCAGAGACGGCACGTGCCCGTTATCTGAACAAGACACTATCGCGTCCTATGCGCGCCAGAGGCGGCACGTGCCAGTTACCTGAACAAAACACTATCGCGTCCTATGTACGCCAGAGACTGCACGTGCCCGTTATCTGAACAAGACACTATCGCGTCCTATGTACGCCAGAGACTGCACGTGCCCGTTATCTGAACAAGACACTACCGCGTCCTATGTACGCCAGAGACTGCACGTGCCCGTTATCTGAACAAGACACTACCGCGTCCTATGTACGCCAGAGACTGCACGTGCCCGTTATCTGAACCAGACATTATCGTGTCCTATGTACGCCAGAGACTGCACGTGCCCGTTATCTGAACAAGACACTACCGCGTCCTATGTACGCCAGAGACTGCACGTGCCCGTTATCTGAACCAGACACTACCGCGTCCTATGTACGCCAGAGACTGCACGTGCCCGTTATCTGAACCAGACATTATCGTGTCCTATGTACGCCAGAGACTGCACGTGCCCGTTATCTGAACAAGACACTACCGCGTCCTATGTACGCCAGAGACTGCACGTGCCCGTTATCTGAACAAGACACTACCGCGTCCTATGTACGCCAGAGGCGGCATCCTCACCATGCGTTCAAAGCTTTTTTGTTCTAGAAAACAGCCAATAGCCCCATTGGCACAAACTTCACACGTTTTTGTCATAAATAGCCACTGCGAACGACGCCATTGCACCCCAGTTGGTGTCCGGTGCATGGCATGCCAGCTGAGGGAACTTGCTCTCAATACTTGATCATAACCGCTGCGGTGGCTCCTGCTTTTCACATAAAATATTTGCGTATAACAAAGCGTTAGGTCTGATAGCACATTTAAGCTATTATAATTTTGGTAGCCGATCGCCTGATAAAGACGTGACAAATCGAGCGGCAGCATGCGCCGGGCAGGCCGCGCAACCGCTCCTGCCACCGGCAGAGGCACCGGGGATGCGCCGGTTCCTGCAGCGGTACCGCTCGGGTTACCCGCCAGCGTCTGGGTGCTATTTTCCGTATCTCCTTGACAGCTCCCACTGGCTGGTAGCGGACCAGACCAGGCAGCAGGCCGGGCCGGGCCAGACAACGAGCCGGACCGGGCAAAGCAGCGGGCCGGGCCGGGCCAGACAGCGGACCGGGACGGGCCAGACAGCGAACCGGGACTGGCCAGACAGCGAACCGAGCCGGGCAGGGCAGCCGTGTGCACAACAGGAGCCAGACAGCTGTCGGCACACAGCTGTGCCCGCGCTGCGGTAGTGCCGTGGACGGACCAGCGGCCCCAGGACCGATCTGATTATAAGCGATACGACAGGTGGCGCCCGCCACATTTTCGACTTGATGTGGTACCCGTGAAGGATGTCTTCGCCCTGCAGGCGGCACGATGAGTGGGTAAGACTAACCTCGGACCCTCCATTTTCATACCAGGGCAGGGTTGTGGCCAGCTTTGGCTTCCGTAGGACCAGCTCCGGCTCCCATATGACCAGCCCCGGCCCCCGTCCGGACTTGGCTGCCGTCCGAGCGCCCCGGCTCTCGTGTGGCCGGCCCCTGCTCCGGTCGAGCCCTGAGCACGCCCCAGTCGGCCGTGACGTTGTGTGCGCCGGGGGGGGGGGGGGGCTCGCGTTACGGGCGTGCTGGGCCGTGACGTGTGCGCTGAGGGAGGCTCGCGTTACGGGCGTGCTGGGCCGTGACATTGTGTGCGCCGAGGGGGGCTCGCGTCACGGGCGTGCTGGGCCGTGACGTTGTGTGCGCCGAGGGGGGCTCGCGTTACGGCCGTGCTAGGCCGTGACGTGGTGTGCGCCGAGGGGGGCTCGCGTTGCGGCCGTGCTAGGCCGTGACGTGGTGTGCGCCGAGGAGGGCTCGCGTTACGGCCGTGCTGGCCCGTGACGTGGTGTGCGGCGACGGCGGCCGTTCTGCTCCGCCACCGGCGGCCGTCGCCGGGGTAACGCCCGGCGGCCCGCGGGCGGGGCGGGGCCGGACCGCGACCCTGACCGCCTGCGCCAGGCCGCTGGGCCGGGTCAGCTCACTGCAGACCACTCGCTGCGTGCCGGCTGCTATCGCAGTGCATGGCCGTGGGTAACGTGGCATAGCCCGTTGTCTCAAGGGCGGCGGGCGTGGTCTGAAAGGCAGCCAGCTATGGAGTAATAAGCGAACAACGTGCAGCTGATGTGGCGAGGCCAGCTGGAATTAGCCGCTCCACCGCCGTCTCAAGTCCACTATCCCCGGTGCAAAAACTGTACTGGAGAAACTCCACTGGCACTGAATGGGCACAATAAGAGAAACATATCGCTGAATGTGAACGGCCAGAAAGGGGACTCGAGATATCGGACTGATGTTTTTTTTTCACTTTTGTCGTGTGTTCTAGTTGCATATGATAATCCATCGTAATGCTAAAAGTCATTTCATAACCGCAATTGTTTTGCACTAGTCGAAGTGCGTGAGTGCCAACGAATCTGAAAAAGCCCTTATGTGTTTGTGCCTAGAGGAAGCTCAGCGGTATCTCGTCTGCAAAATTAGCAGCGCGTTACTGCTCCATCACACACAATGTCCAGTCAGCAGAAAACGGCACCTTTGATGTTAGTAGCATGTATTTTGCAGACTACTGAACACTGGGGCCTGGATCTTTACCGTTCATGAAGTCATAGAAATGCTCCTCAGAACAGCTGTTCTTCGTCTATCGGAACGGCCGTGCACCACCGCCAGCATCAACGGCTATGGCAGCTTTCACGGCGTCAGGGGTAGGCGCAACCAGCCGCGGACTACACGCCAGATGCATTAGGCAGCTAACAACATGGCCCATAGGCAGCCGATTTCTCACCTGTTCGCCGTGTGGATCATTCAGAATGATTTCGTAGATGCCGGAGCCGATCCGATCTCACGTGGTAGAAGGGAAAAAGTGCAGTTCGGACGTTGACCTACCTGTCTGACCAAGCTACTTAAAACTTCCCTTTATTGCTGAGCGGTACTGATGGAGTCTCGTAGAAAGCCAGAGATGGTTATGTGCCAACTATCCCATCATGACAGCTTATGGGCTGGCGTTAGGCGCTGGGCTGCTTGAGCTATGAGTATCACGGGAAGGATTTAGTTGTTTTCAAAACAGACGACAGAAACACGTAATTTTGGCAGCAAGAAATTCAAGTGGCAAAATATGGATTGACGCACCATTAATCTCATGAACATAAACGTAGCCGTCTGAGAATGTAATAAAATGGTTGTGTTGTGAAATGCACTGGGGCCAGCAGGTTATAGGTTATGATGATGACCGGAGGCAAATCAATATGAGCACTGGCTCGTGGTCAAAGATGAAAGCAAAACATCGTGGGATCCCCAATACTCCTGGTCATGCCAGAGCGTTGTTGGGTTTCATTATACACCCGACAAACGTATGCACGTTGCATCTTGGCACAAACGGTTCGTTGTTATTCGTGCGTCAGCTTGCCCATTAAATGATTAATTGGTCTTCCTTTTTATTGCCAACAATATCACCATCCGCACTGGGAAGACAAGCTAGCAGGAGCACAAAAGCCGTGCATACATTACGTGACGCATGTATGCATTTTGACGTGACGCATTTTTGTCACCTCTATCCTGTTAACACACTGGTCCACTGAGCGAAAATCGACAGGCGCGCTGCTTAGTATGAGGAAGCAAAAGCTACCCGTCTTCACGGTTTGAAAACATTTTAGAAGCACCTCAGCATGATTGGCAGCTACACAGAGTTACGATGTTCACCTCCGATCGCCTTCCCCTTGCCACGCTTCTGTTACGCTCCATCAAATCTTATAGCCCTTCCATATGTAACGTCATGCATGGACGACACTACAAAATCAAAACTGCGTCTCAACTTGACTCCGACGATGGCCACGCGAGGTTAACAGGTAGTGCTATTGCATGTCGGATGGGATCGTGCTGAAACCCGACTCGAGTATAATTATGTGAAGATCTATGAAAGACAAATATAGGTAATTTTCATGTGTACACCGGCATTGTTTCCATGTTGTGTTAGCGGTTTCAAGGACTTTTTTATTGTCATTTGCAAGCTTCACCTGTCGTCTGTTCCCCGGTACACTAGGGGCTACTGCGGCGTGTATAGCCCGGATGTTGATATTGCCATCCGCGAACACACACACACAGACACACTCAGACACAGACACAG